TAATAAGGGACTTAAGATTTTGTGACCAACTTGTGAAAATTGTGGTATTTAATTGCCTAATGTTTGCTTGTGCTCACAATGGCAGGCATCTATACAAAATGCATTTGCACTTTCACAAAAGGAAGCAAGGGCAAAGTCCATTTAGGAATGTGGCTGGAAATATTTTATGTCCAGTGAAGTAATGTAAATCTCGAACACAGGGTAAATTAAGGGAATACCATAAAGAACCTCACTTCTGACCAGTGTGATTGCAAATACTACTGAAGCAAACTGTTAACTTCTTTTCTGCATCCAAAGTACGTTTCTATTTAGTGTTTGCATCAGTTTTTCAAGTTACTTAATTTGCTTCTGGTACAAAAAAGGCTGAGGGCAGGAACTTGCACTGAAGTCCTTTAATTCACCTTAAACTCCTGAAAATAGGCATCTTGATTTTTCTGCCTGACCAGCATTTACAAACAATGCTCGTACATTCTGAAGTTTCCTGCCCAATGCCCAGCTAAGATTGCACAGATGAGCAAGGATGTTTTCCTTGAAAACATAAAAATAGGTTCTAAATTACACTTAAAAAAAAGAAAAGTTTCAAAGTTATTTATTAAAATAGGGTATTTTAATTTTTTTCTAATTATGAACTTTTTACAATAGAGACCAGACCCCTTCATGTATTCATATGGTGATTGGTACAAGGCAGTTCTGATCCAGCTGCTGCCCTCAGACTGTCCTCTATCCTGTTTATTTTTGCTGAGATACATTAGAAAGCAATCAATCCCTATGGTTTTCTCCAAGATGTCTGTGTAAACTTCCTTGAAGATAAAGACTTTTTTCTCTCCCAGAGATTGCCCACAAAATGCATGTGTATGAAGCACACACAAATGTACATTGCAAATCACATATGAGCAACAGTGATTTGGCTTAGATGCATGTAACAGGTCCAGTGCTCCAGCCAGTCCACTATCATTTCTTCAGACATTTAGCTTTGTGGTGTTATGGGAATAAAAACAGAACAGCACTGTATCTGAAGAAAATCCAGACTGTAATGGGTCTGATTTAAGTATGTTTTCTGCTTTCATGTATGCCGCTCAGGATCTATATGTATCCATTTAATGATCTTAAAGATCTCTTCTGACCTAAACGATTCTATGACTCTGTGATATAATACGTGTAAAGCCTAAAGCTTTCTACATACTTTCGGGCACTTCCTTTGTGAGAGATAGATGGGAAGCAAGACACAAACCCATCTTCCCTGTTCCAGACTTTCTGTCTGTGCTATTATAAAGTAGACAATTCTGTCCTGCAGTATTTCTTAGGGAATGGCCATATTTTACAGTGCAAGAACACAATTAAGAAATGTAAAAATAATGATGGCTCTACGAAAATACTAGTTTTTGCTTGTAATGTTATTTCCATGCAACTTAAACACTTCAGGGACATTACAGCTATCTGTTCCCATCGCAGACTATGCTCTATATATTATAGCACTAAACATTAATGGTTTTTACCATACTCAATCTGGAAAATCCATTCCAACTGAATTTGCATTCTAAACATATAAGGAACACCAGGCCAGGTTTGGAAAGGAAACGAGATTTGCAGAATATATTTACACCACTGTAAAATATTTTTGCCAAAACTTCATGAAACATGACTAGATTTCTGCAACACAAGAAAACAGTGTTAGATTTGAATTTTACACTTACTATTCTTTTCTTTTTTTTTTTTGCTAAATCTAAGACCACATTAATCAGACCACTGGTAGAGAGTACTACCTACTTACTCAACATTTTCGTTATGAGCAGCATTTGTCTACTGCTGATCCTTTTTTGTTCTCTGTTTTGAGTATGTTTGTGATGAAACCTGCCCTTCAGTCATTTTTTGAGATTGTCACTGAACAGTTTTAAAAGAACCCATAGATCAGAATTTCAACACAGGTTTATTGGTATTAGGGAAGCACAGCACTTTGTTCCTGTGCTAAAGAATTACTGTACAGCCATAAGATTTGCAGAATGGCATATATGGGCAGATACTGATTTTTTTTTTCAATCAGTGCCTGGTTTATTCTAATGTACATACTATGTCAGTTTCTCAATTTGCAGTCACATTTTGACACAAGTACTGTAACACATAACTAGGGCTTTCTGACATTCAGTTTGGTTCAGATCAGTTAATTCTGGAAAGTGTTAATAGCGTTGAACTTTAAAATTTCTCATGGAGTTTCTTGGCAGCATGCTGTTTTAAGAGTAGGCCTCTTAAGTATGCCATACTTAGTGGGACAGCTGAAAGCTTCTTAGATGCAAAGGAAATGCTTGCACTAAAGTATCTTAAGTTATATTTCATTTATGATGAAATCCTTTTTGATTTTACAAGAAATGTAAGACAGATATGAATGTGCTCTTTTGAGAAGCGGTTACTGTATTTTGATTTAAATAACTTATGATTTTATAGTTCGCAGCCGTAAACCACAAAGAGACCAGTTCACGCTGAAGTGGCAAAATGAAATGTGATCCAGCTTGTAAATTGATTGTTGTTTCAATAAAGAATTTGCACAGAGTATGCTGAGTTTGTACATACTCAAAAATGTGAGTTTCTTACTAAGAGTATGCTGTTGCTCCAACTCAAATGGAAGTGAATTATGTATTCTATTGTACATCTGCTAATATTCCAGAAACTTTGATCAGGAAAAAGAGTAAATTACCTAGAAAGGAAGTTTTAATAAAGCTCTGAAAGGGAGCTGTTGTTATCAGAATACAGACTGCATTATTAATCAGTATTGTTATCAATAGTCTAAATTGTTCATGTATGTAAGCAGTCTCTCTTTGGAAACATGTCAGCAGTTCTGCATGTAATCCAAAGGACTTCCTTTGTCCGCTCTTTCTTTTCTGAGCCTTGTCTTGGGGCCTTGCAAAAAGTATTGCTGCTATTTCAGAATTGGGGCCGACAAATAAGTGCCTCTTCTCCCAGAGGCATCCTAGCACCAAAACTAAATAAAATCTTGAGTATCTATACCCACGCCCCCATTCCTTCACTCACCCTAAAAGGATGAGGTGAAATGGCTTTCCTGTACCACAGCAGTTGGACTGTATCACTCCCTAATAGTTTCCAGCAGGACTTGGTTGAAGCAGACACTAATACCTTGTCCTGGCTCTGCTACACAGCTAACAGCCAGTGGCAGTCATTGACAGAGATGGAATGGGGGGCTTGCCCTTTCACACATGAAAGATTTGCTCTTGCCAGTTGCCTGTTCTAGGCTGAAGAACATAGCCAACAGCAGGAAAACAATAGCTATTTTGTGTTTTAACTCTGCTGTTTGAAAGACTGCTCCAATTTTGAAAAGTATTTTCAGAAGCATTTTTATTCAGCAGTCTTGGCTGAGTTAATGTGGGTGAGACATCCACAATTTGTGGACAAATATCTACAAAACATCGTGAAGAAGTCACAAACTCATCATAAAAATGGAATACATATGGCTAGATCCATATGCTATTTTACTGTCTCAGCATGGGACCTTGTCTTGCAGTTCAATATGCTGTGATGGGTTTTTTTCATCTAGAACAGCACCACCCCAGGTTGCTCCCCTCCATCATGCTGAACTCCTGCAACAGCTTTGCTGGAGCATTTTTCAGGAAGGTGGAGTACCACCAAGCAGTTGGTCCCCGTGAGCTACACTCCTGAACACTGAAACAAGCTGCTTCCAAGTCTCAGTGCTTCTTACGAATAGAAGATCTTTATATCATGTGGAGGAGGCTGCCTTACATTAGTACTACAGAGGCACCCCCAGACTAAAAGCTGCTGGTGGGTAGTATCTGCACAGAGACAAACCTGTGGACAGTGGGGTCTCTGCTCTCGTACTAAGACTTGAGCCAGGGAAAGCTGGTGCGTAGCGCAGGGCTGGTAGCAGTAGCTACCAGTAGCAGTGCTACAACACCACTTTCCCACAGGACTGCTGATTTTCTGACTTGCATTGTGCACTAGTTCCTGGAATAATCAGCTGAGACTTGAGAATCAGTTCCTTCTCAGCATCCATTCCTTCCATCTCTTCCTCTCCCTGTCTTACCTTCCTGTGCTTTATTCTGTCTCCACTTCTCCAGTGTTACTTCTCAAGTGAGAACAGAGTGGAACTAGTGGTCAGGGCAAGTGTTTCTGCACTCCAGGTACCTCTGTTCCAAACTGACCTTTCATTAAGTCCCAAAATGGATTTCATTTTTCCACCAACTGTACCAGGCTCTAATGCAATGTACTATATTTAGCTGTCTGGCTCCCAGGCCCAAACTGAGTCATACTCTTAAAGGCTGACTTGTGAATCCATAGCATCATATATAAGTCTATAAATTGGGCAAAGACAGTAATATAAACTGAAGCTAAGTTCCCTATTTCTTATACAAAATTAGACTGCATAGCAGCAAACAATAAATGTGATAGACTTAGGCCGCTCAAGTTATGCAATGAAAATCTATTCCATACCACAAGAAGATGAGGCAAGAATGAGAAAAATTAGCAGCCAACCTTGTATAGGATGGAGAATACATGTAAACCCCTGCTTATGGTTAAACAGAAATTTCACATCAGTATCAAATCGATCTGCTCTTCTGTAGCCACATTCTATTTTGACAACAGATTCCTTTAGTACCTACTCTAAGCAGAACTTCCCTATGTAAGCAAGCACCTTAGCTATGGAAATAGTACAAGAGTTATCAGAAGGAGCCTTACCTCTCACATCTACTGTTTTTTACTATTTAGCTATGCATCAAAGGCCAGCCAAAGATCTAGCCAACCACCCTGTCTTAGTGTCTAGCCACAGAGTTTGGGAGCTTCCATTTGAGATACATGAGCGAGTTTTTCTGAGATGTCCGCCTTCTCTTGCATAGGTTTTGATTATACCACCCAATAAACCACTCAATTATTAATGGCACCAGTCATTCTCAATTAATAATTACAGAGAAGAAAACTAAATGCTGCCACAACTTCCCTCTTTCTGAAGCCTCTTACTGCTTCTACCTCAAGATTAGCCCTGATGGACAGATAGCTCCTGAGTTGTTTAGGTATCCATTAGCTCATTCCTGCTGGGGAACACTACCTTAGCCAGAGATCAGGATTAAAAAAAAAAAAAAATTGTAACAAAAATATTTATCCAGAAAATAATCTCCCTTCTAAGGAGGCAAGCATGGATCCTGCCTGATAAAAATGCTTCATTATCCTTCTCTCTAATACGTAAACCGCCTCAGGAAAAGGTGGTAAAAAATAGAAAGAAATTTAAGAGGATTAAAATGGAAAATCTTTCTCCTCATTCAAAACATCCAGAGGTGATTTATCTTCAAAGTATATTAAATTCTAACTCATTTAATCATGCTTTGATGTGCTTTTAAACATACCCAAGTGGAGAAAAAGGAGATACCAAAAACCAACGACATTTTCACCACCAACCCCAAAGTAAATTATCACAAAAGTACAAATCATACTACTCAGCCCTTCTCTCAGGATACCATTTATCAGGGAAGATATTTCTAGTCCTTTTTATGGTTCTGCTTAGGTGACTGCAGCTTCCTTAAGGGATTGGTGAAGGTGCATTTCTTTTCTGCTGTCTTCTTCTTGGTTAAATAGGCTATACCCTGTATGATCTCCTCTTTATGTATAAAAATCAATGTTCCATCAAAGATTTATCTTCATTCTTCCTCTCCCCATCCCATTTGGATACCTTTTGGGTTTTTGTGTGTTTTGTTTTACTGCTTGGATTTTGGGTTGTTTGCACTGAAGTTCCTGATGTTTTAAAACATCAGAGGATCCTAATGTTTTTTCAGTTGCCTGGTTTGGGGCAGGATCACTCACACCCATCTGTATAATTCAATTTTAATTACACTGATGTACATATTACTGTTTCCAGGTTGGTGCAGGATGAACTAATCAGTAGACTGCAGCAGACTTCTTTTGCAGAGCAGCACCAACAGAACAGGTAAAGCCGTAATTCCCAAGATACAAGTGAAATAAGTGTCCTCAGTCATATATGCATCTGTGAATATATGTTCTTTTGTTCATTTCAAAAAAGCCTTAAATAACATGTTTCTTTTGGCTTAGCCTCTGATCATTGATGGACTAGCACATTTGCACCATCCCTACACTTTTACATCAGCTATCCATTATGTGAATTGATTTATCTTATTCGTTGGATAGCATGCCAAGTGCAGGGGTGTCAGTACATTAGATATTTGTGAAGAGACTGCAGACAGCTTGGTGACACTATGTAAATGATATTTATTTCAAATGCACTGATAAATGCTTTTTTGCATTCTTTTAATGGAAATGCTGTATTTCTATATAGGCTGATATTTACATGTTGATGGAGTCTCTTTTTCTGTTTTAACTAGAAACTCCAGTTTTTCATAAGTGTGCAGTAAAATGACAGTAATCTGCTGCCAAATAAAGCTGCTTTTTGCAACTACAGTTTCTATATTTCGTAATCCCCCTGTAATCTCCGCTAAGCACAGAGCTCATTCTTTAATATATACATCATGAATGAGGTGAAAGGCTTCAAATCTGTTATACATGTAGTCTGCATCAGACTGATAGTTATTTTATTAGAACATATACCTACCCTGACACTGCAACTCCCTTTGCAGTTACCAGAAATAGCCCCAGAGCATTAGCCAAATGTTATATGATACAGTGCCACAATGCAGTGCCACTGAGAACTATGCACTTACTCTACACCAATTTCAGGAAAAATACTCCAGAGAAAACCCATCCCTTCTCATCAGGGAAGCAGGGACCGAAAGCCTCTCAAGTACTTCATGTTTCACATGGTTTTCAGAAAAAGGAAAACAGCCCCAAAACCCCCAACTGCCAGCTAGGTAATTACTGAGGTTCTTACTTGTGAAACTAATGCAGGAGCTCCATCACCAATGACGGAGCTCACTGCAGTATGGAAACTCATCACTCCCGGTAGGTAGCTGTCAGTTATCAGACAGCAGCTAAAGACACTTCTCACAGTAATCCATGATACTATATAAGGAGGGCAGTGTTACTCCATAGCATGTAAATTGGTAATGTCCTGGAGTCTACGGATGACACTACAAGATGCAAGCCCCAAACTGTTCAGGTGATGGCACTGCACCTGAAACTCAAGCCTGTTTCCTGACTAGAGAAGGGCACTGTGAGCATCAGTAAAGGCTCTGTGCTGGGGTGGTGGAGTCAGACCCTTTCATGAGAACCCAAGTCCTTCCTTTTGGCTTGGTATCGTGACCAGGCTACACCTCTTCTTTATTTGGTCTAGCACTACCTCATAGTTCTTCAAGGAAGACTAAGTATGGACTCTTCAGTGAGGCAACTGCTGAAAACCATGTAAATGCGGCTCAGCTGTACTGACAGATGTGCACTTGCCTTTGTACCATACCAGATAAAGATGTTCACAGGGGCCTGCCAGCGTTGAATGGAAAACGGCGGTGATACTGTGAGTCCGGAAAAAAAATGGAAGCAGATGAGAATGGGCAGGGGGGAGTGAGCTGGAGGCAGTGGCCCAGTCCAATAGGCATAGAATTAAGATGACAGTCCCACACTTCCTGCTGAAAACACCTCCAGCAAAATCAGCTCCCTGTCCCTACACACTCTCCACCAAAGAACTGTCACCCATTGTCAGCTCAGCAACAGCTCCTTGTCCTTCTGCCTAGTCAGGCTCTGACCAGCCAGGTTTTGCTTCTTATTGAGCAGCTATAAGGCTGTCTAATCCTAATGGACATTTGTTCTGGCTTTTCTTGCCCTGTCTCTCCCTATTACTAACATAAAAGAAAGCATGGGATTCACTTGCCAGCACACAAGTAAAACGCTAGTCCTCAGAGACCTAACAGACCAACTATTCTGTTCTAAATGAGGATGTGCAGAAGCTAGGCACTTCAAAATGAATTAATAGGTTTAAAGCCTCTGCCTGGTTAAGTCCTGTGTGCTTATTCATCTTCTCATTTCGTGATGACAGGGTGCTGGCCAGTTTTAACAAACTACAACTTGACCTATTGCTGTGTTTTAAAGGAGAGGATTATATAGGGTTCTTTTAAAACCGTGCAACTTGAGCAATGAAGGGTTAAGAGAACAGATTCCAGACTTAATCACAACACTTTCTTCTCACAATGCTATAAATTGTGTTCTCTGTCTATTGGCAATTTGCAGAACAAACACAGCATATCCTAGCAAAATCAATATTTTTTTCAGTGATGGTGGTTGTCCTCATCTTGCCTCTACATAACAGAATAAAAGGTTTCAAGGCACTGTCAATTAGCAGAACTGATAACAAATGCTTTTGATTAGGTACCCTGTTGGAAAGCAACTACAGTGGGAATTCCAAGTTTGTAAATGAGATCTGCTCCCTTTATATTGACTTGCCATATAATGGATTATAAAAGGCCAACTTTACTGAGCAGAACTACACGATCTTTTACAAGTCTGGCTTACTGCTGCACATTTTTTCTTTTCTCTTAATAGTCTCCCATTGGATATAATATGTACTACAAAACTTTAATGCTCTACCCATGCAATTTGAGAGATTTTATTCAAATACAGAAACAGAAAATAATAAGTATTCCTTCCTATTTTTTCTTTCAAAAGTTATCATCAATAACTTAATCATTTGTGCCATGTTATAGCCACAAACACTGAGACAAATGCTGGTAACTTTTCTGCCCACTTCAGCCTAGACCACACCACTTCATTAGAGTGCTGAGTATTTGCTGGCTTCTGAGAGGCCAAAGCATGTATTCTCAAGGGACTGAAAGGAAAATGTTCCACAAATGCCAAGCTGGAACTTGGCACTATGGTCACTTGGCAAATGAATGGCACTATACATAATAAACAAGCAGAGAGAAGGAGCTTAGATTCTAAATGTCCTCTTGAGAAAAGATAGAAAACAGTTCCTAGGAACACAGAACAAAAGCTGTCAGAAAACTAAGATCATTGATTTTTGTCATGAATGACTTATGATTATGGCTATGTGATTGGAATGGGAATGGAAGATTCTGCACTACAAAGCTCTGCATTCTCTGATCTCATGTGAGGTTTCATTTGCATGCATTAAATAAAGCACAGTGTCACATTTGTTAAATCTGATGGGCTCAAATATTGTATTTTACACATTAATCTAATTATCTTCCTGTTTCACTGGATCTTTAAATGACATTATCATCAATTAATAAATGCTTTTTCTGTTTCTATGTATATCTATGTAGAGAAAAATATGGGTTAGAATAGCCATTAATTTTCCATTCAAATGAATTAGCTGCTTCAAACTGAAACTGACCAAGTTGCAATTTCCACACCTCTCATGTTTTTATTATGAAACACAAACATTAAAAGCAAGAAAATATCTGACACAGAGCTTAGGCTTCCAACTGGCTACCTGACAAAAGAACAGATTAACCAAGGAAGCAGGATCTGTGATCCAGCAGATGAACAAGCTGTATCTGCCTTCTGCATATTAACATTGCTCAGATCTGAGGGAATCTGCTGTGACCCACATGCATGTCAGTTGTACACTGCACAGCACTCAGGATACTCACCAATCTGTTACCACACCTCATACCCTTGATATCCTTGATTACCTATGATTACCACACCTATCATACCCTTCACAGTCCCCCATCCACTATGAAATCAGAGTTTCATAATGTATTACAAAAGCTTTCAAAACCTTATTCTGCACTGAAACAGGAGTCAGCATACTCAGAGACCAAAACATACCCTTGTTCTTTACCTCTAAAGGACTTAAGTCCACATCCAGTCCCATTCTCTTAAAATACAACCAAAGATTAACAGAAGGCAGAAAACAACCTTCTAGCTCAACAAATAAGCACCTTCAATTTTAAATACTAACACTAAACCACCACTGTGCAAAGGCACTTTCTACTCTCTTCCCTTTTCCAGGTCTTTTGCAGCTTTCCTTTACAGTCCTTAACTTTCTGAGTTGTGGACCTGAACTGCACCCTCCACCAGAGGAATCTAAGTCTAAATTTGTGTTCTGATTTTGCTTGCACTTACTTGCTGCTTGAAAGAAATCCAGTTGTGCAGTTAGGCCCAGATCCAGAAAAACACATAAGCATGCAATTTATATATATGAATAGTACCATTGTGAAGGGTGCAGGCTCTTTCCCAATATTTGCCATCAGTCTTTTCTCTGCTAGTGCTTCTTTGTTCCCCATTACGGCCTACATGTGGCCTTTCTTTTTCTCCCAAGATTTTCCTACAGATTCATAATGGGGTGCATGCTATGCGTATGATCTTTCCCAAAGACTGAGAGGAGAAGCCTCTCAGAAGAATGGAGACATAAAACACACTCTATGGAGACAATTAAACACTCTGTGTTTAAAATGAGATGTCAGTTCTCAGCACTGCATTTCATCCCAATCAATTCACATGTATCAGAACACCTGTTGGCTAGCTTGCTTGCTCAGCTTGACTTTTTAGAAAGATCATCCTGGTAGCTCATTTAGTTAGGGAAATATCACTGCACAAGAAGCAGTTAAGACTTACAAGTTACAATATAGTTGGGACGTTCAGTGCTAAATATTCTAAACCTAAACTACTTAATAAATAGTGTGGATTCTATATCGTGAACCTAATAATATACTTTCACATATCAGCAGTGGTCTATATTTAGAGGAGAGATATTAACATGTTTCAAGCAGTCCCATAAGCAAAATAAACATTTAGCTATAGGTATTAAATGAGACTGATCATTAACATGAAGTCTCTTGGAAAAAAATAAATCATATAATCTGGTCATTTCAATTATCCGACTTTAGGTTTAGGAATTCCTGTTGGAGATGCCCACATACTGAACCAGACATTTAAAAGTGCTGATGGGGTATTTACTCTAAAATGCTAGACACAAACTCTTTGCAGATGGATCTGTGTCATCGACATGATGCAACTTTACACTGAATGACTTCACTCATATGGTCAGTGTTGCAGAAATACCAATGGTGGTCAAACATTCGTCATCATTAACTTCCATAAACTCTAATGGGAGTTGACAGCCTGTCTCAGGGAGCTATTTAAATCTTGTAGAATCAAAGCCCTGATAGCCCTATCACGTAGCAGATAACTTTGTGATAAGGCTTTCAATCTCAGCTGACATTAAAATCAGAAAAGAAAGTTGAAAGAGCAATTTAAAAAAAAACTGTATATATACAGTGACATGTAACACATGCAACATCATCACTCCGGTTCTTGGAGAAAGGGATAATGATTTTGAGAGAAATTCTGCCTCAGCAGTGCATGCAAAGTCAAGGACAAGAAGTTAATCTTACTGTAAAAGTACATTCAATGCTGTTGTCCTAGTAAAATTCCCACTTGTCCAGAACCTGACAAAGCAAAAACCTCTTTAATTCAATATTCATGGGGTGTTTTAAGAAATCAGACTACAGGCTTTTGTGTTAAAACTCATTCTGGTTGAATCTTAA